TTTCTTATATTGTAAAATAACTTCTTTTAAAATACTATACAAACAAAACTAGTTGGCTTGAGTACAAACTGTCAATTGAATTACAGGTTAAAAATGTCTAATTTTACGGATACGATAGTAGCAGAACGTTGGCGCCACTGGAAGTACTAGATTGCAGAAACTTTTCTAGCAGTCTACGTACTAACAGTTCCATTATTAACGCTCCTATTATTTATAAGAAAGAAAGTTATTTCTGTTTACTTGAGTGATGAGTATGCGAACCGTATCGTCGGACGCTACTTAAACAGGAGGCGGGCCCGGACGTGACATCAATAACTCATGTGCGTATTTTACCTCTCTTTTTGCAATGTTTCAATTGTCAAATAATTGTATACCTTTTTCATATTATATGTGGTAATAATAAAATTGACAAGTTTTCTCTACAAAGTCACATTATTTTTAACGTGACTTTGTCCGAGTACTACCTACTTGTTGCAAAGTAATAATATAGTAACAATATTCAACTCATTCTAGTTGATCACTATGTACATCTACAAAATTATTAATCGAATAATATTTTACTCTTAATTATGGATGCTTTTCGTTTCATGCATAATGCATTTGTTATAATTAACATTTGTTATAATAACATTGTTGTTAAATGTAAACAAATATAAATGAAACATCATGCAAGTCATGCGTGAAACAGAATGCGTCATTATCAATGTATGTATATGTGCTATCAGATACTTATTACGTATTACAAAACAATATAATATATAGAAATTCGAATTAATCCATTGCAATAACTTCTATACACTATGTAAAATTACACTGACGAACAAGAAAAGACGTCACAACTCGAAAATCATTGCTAAAAAGTAAATGTTATTGTATAATAATAAAAAAGACAACCGGAATGATCGTTGAGTGACTATTTCTGCGATGTTTGATTTCATTATCTGAAGACGAGTTCTGGATATAATCTATCGCATGCTCATTTTTTACGCACTTTGGCTGTGTTTGTTTACATTTTAGAAACATGAAAAAAAATTTTAATTGCAATACTGATGTATTTTGCGTTTTATTATCGATTTCTCGGGGCATCTCTTATTATTAGGAGCACAATTTTTTGAATTTGCGATTTGCTTACTTTTTACATTTCTTTAATTAAAAAAAAAATTGAATTTGAATTAAATTTTATATAACGTTAATATAACGTTTATATAACTTAAAGCTTATTAAATTTCCTTTAAAATTTAATTTATTTTTTTTTTAATTCTACCTATAGACTTCTAGCATTTATCCAAAATGAACTCGATATCTCATAATAGGGGCCTTTTTTCTATCTGTAAAACATTCCTATAAAGCCAGTCTTCGAGATTCTTCAGCGAACTGTTTTAATACTTCTTCCTCCAGCTTCTCTTCCTTTGCAAGCACCATTTTTTGTGTATACTTTATAAACAAAGTCCGTTGAAGTAATTTTCCGATGGATGAATGT